GCCACTGCAGCTCCCTCTCTGTCCAGCCCTGCTGTCCCAAGAGCACGACAATTTCCTGCATCCAAACCTAGAGGTGTTGCACTTGACAGCATGGCTACTGCATGGCGGAATGTGGAAGAGTGGGAATGCTCAACCCAGCTACAACAGGTCTTGCTGGGTAGCAGAAAGCCCTCCACCAGAGCAACTTACCTGGCAAAGTGGAAAAGATTCACATGCTGGGCTTCGGATTGGCGCGTCTGCGCCGAACAGGCCTCGCTGCAGGTGATCCTGGATTATCATCTGCACCTCAAATTTCAGGGTGTGACACTGTATCTTGGGGGAACACCCTACACTCCCATGTTCATCCTTATAATATGATTGTGTGGTATCCAATGCAAAGTTTGTCATGTCGGGTGTCTTTTGGAAGGCTCATGATGCATTGTTGTTATAGTAATGTTATAGGTTGTAATTTCATGTATATAGTTATGAGGCTGAAAATGTGTCCTCATGGCTTAAAACAAGCCCAGGCAAAAACTCTTCAGGAGCAGAGGGGCAGTTTACACCTCATCAGGGCAAGTATGGGACAAGCCCAGCCTCACAAGAACAAAGGACACTGGCCTAAGCAACAACAAAGGATCTGTTGGACTCTTGAGTGAGTCACCCCCCCCTTCCTTTGGTCAGTTTGGGACTACGATGCGGTAATGCTCACCTGACCCTGAAGGGGGAGCGGGACAGAGCCAAGAGGGATGAAAGAACGTGATAAAAGGGAGAGACGTTTGCCATGCTCTTCCTCTCCCTTCCACCTCCATCCACAGACCCCACCACCAAGCGACTGAAGCACTGATCAAAGGAGAGAGCCTGGCTAAGGGCAACCAGCCAGCCTGTGGTGAGAAGCATCTTAGTTTGTAAGATTACTGAAAGTGTTAAGATCAACTTAGAATGCGTTTTGCTTTTATTTCATTTGACCAAATCTGACTTGTTGTGCTTTGACTTATAATCACTTAAAATCTATCTTTTGTAGTTAATAAATTTGTTTGTTTATTCTACCTGAAGCAGTGCGTTTGGTTTGAAGCGTGTCACGGACTCCCGTTGGGATAACAAACCTGGTACATATCAATTTCTTTGTTAAATTGATGAACTCATATAAGCTTTCAGTGTCCAGCGGGCATAACTGGACACTGCAAGACGGAAGTTCCTAGGATTGTTTCTGGGACTGGAGATATTGGCTAGTGTCATTTGGTTGCACAATCCAAGCAGTGGCTGGCCAAAAGTGCTCGCTCACGTGCTGGGAGCAGCTTACATGCTAGAGGCTGTGCGTGAACAGCCCGGGAGTGGGGATTCTCATAGCAGAGCAGGGTAAGGCTGGCTCCCAGGGGCAAGGATTGGACTGACATAGCAGATCACTAGTCCAGATAACACCAGGGGAATGTCACAGCGTGTCCCTGTCATCGATCAGGGTCCACCTGGCTGCTATTTCTGTGTTCCATCCTCTGTTCCAAGGCAGGTCGGTCCTCACTCATGACATAATGGTCTGGTTCTTGAAAGGTCTGTGGCATCTTTGCCCTCACGTCTGGAACCCTGTCCCTCCCTGGGATTTAAATCTTGTGCTGTCGAGGCTCATGAGGCCTCCCTTCGAACCTCTGGCTTCCTGCTCTTTTCTCCTTCTCTCCTGGAAGGTTGTATTCCTGGTGGTGATTACGTTTAGCTACATAGTGTCTGAAATCCGGGCACTTATGTCAGAACCACCCTATACAGTGTTCTACAAAGTTGTGATCGCACCCAGCGTTCCTGCCCAAGATAGTTTCCCAGTTTCATACCGGCCAGGACATTTTCTTACCGGTCTTCTTTCTGAAGCCCCATAAATCCAAAGAGGAGTGCAGGTTACACACCCTGGATGTCCAGAGGGTGCTGGCCTTCTGTCTCGACAGGATACGGCCATTCCAGGACACGGCTGTTTATTGCGGTGGCAGACAGGATGAAAGATCGTCCAGTGTCTTCTCAAAGGATTTCATCCTGGATCACAGCCTGCATCCGATACTGCTGTGAGCTGGTGAGTGTGCCTCCACCGGCAATAATCAAAGCGCACTTGACAAAAGTGCAAATGTCATCAGTGGCCTTGGCTCAGGTGCTGATCCAAGTGGCTACCTGGTCGTCTGTCCATACATTTACATCCCATTATGCGCTGACCCAGCACGCATGGAATGATGCTGGCTTCGACAGGGCAGTGCTGCACGTTGCAAGACTGAACTCCAAGCCCATTTCCATTGGCACTGCTTGTGAGTCACCAAGCATGGAATAGACCTGAGCAAGCACTCGAAGAAAAAACGGTTACCTACCTTTTGTTCTTCTAGATGTTGCTCATGTCTATTCCATTACCCACCCTCCTAGCCCTCTGTTGGAGTTGTTGGCAAGAAGGAACTGAGAGGGTGTAGGGTCGGTGGCACCTGATATACCACTGCATGATCGCGGCACTCAAGGGGGCGCCATTGCTGGCCCTACAGATATCAGTAAGGCAAAAATCTCCGGCCACGCATGTGGGCGTGCACACAGCTAGAATGGAAGGGACATGAGCAACACATCTTGAAGGACAACAGTTATGAAAGGTAGGTAACCGTTTTTTCCTCTTGCCCGATGGGGTGGTGCCTAGAAATTCCCCAGTGGAAGTTTTGGGGCAGTTATTGTGGTGGCGGCCAGTGTCACGGTTCCAGAGCTAGCTGCACATTTGGCCCTTCTCTAGTCACACAGGTGACATGCCCTGTGTCTTCAGCTATCTCTGGGTGGAGTCCCATGATTCTCCCACTCTCGGGCTACCGTGCCTTGTGTATCAACTGAGGTTGCTCCACAGATCCAAAGAGGTTTGGCTACTTGTGGGTCTTCTCGTTGGCAGCTTTGACCCATGGTGAGTACAGTGAGACACAGCAGCCTTCTTAGAACAAAGTAGTGTTTAATCCCAACAGTAGGAACAAAGCATAACCAACACAGGCACCGGCTTCCAACTGTTCCTGGGGGTGCTCAGGCCCCGCCCCCACCACGCCTCTTCCTGCCCCCACTCTGTTGATTGGTGGGGCCACTGGCAGGTGGGAGTAGGGGGGAGGGAGGGGAGTTTGGCTGCTGGTGGGTGCTAAATACCCACTAATTTTTTTTCCGTTGGCGCTCTAACCCTGGAGCACCCACAGAGTCAGCGCCTATGATAACCAGAGAAGGGGGTTTTAAACACAGTAAAAAATCTATGGTCACACATATCCCTCGTACTATAGATGTAGGTACTGGTAGACCTTGCTTATCCCAGACACCCCCATCTCTGGGTACAGGGGTTCAGCCTACTCCTCTGCCTCATTCTCTCCTGTTCTTCAAGGATTGTTCTTTGTTCCAGTTTTTCCTACTTGGATCCCCTTCCTGTAGTTTCCAGACTGTTGAAGTCTGCCTGGTATCAGAGGTCAGACTTCAAAGTGATTGACACTTGCATTGTCCTTTCTGATGCTGTTGTCCCGTTTTCTTGCTATGTGCAAGCAACCCCTGCTTGAATGAATCCTTTGTTATCCTATAGCAAACAACACAATAATAGATCGAATGGGTGGGCATATGATATTCATAAAATATTACAGGTGCTCCTGGTCTTTTAGACCTGGTTTATGTTCTCTAAGCCAAGGGGCCAATTCATCATTTAAAAACAGGAGACCAGCTGGGGAGACTGGAGGCAGGAGGGACTTTGCTTCTTCCAGGAGCACTGACCAAACACAGAGACTCACAATGGGGCAGGGGGTGAGATAAGACAGAGGGGGATGCGTTCAGGAGTTTGCTGTTTTCCATTGATCTGTAACTCTTGTGCTTCGTAACAGTAAAATGTGGGTGTGGTAACGCATTCGTTTGCTAAGCCTGGGTATCCTTGATTTACTGTGATGTTGCCCCTGAAGGGGTTAACTAGAAAGCAGAGCTCCCATAGCCAGGTGGACTCCGTGGAATTTGTCTACACAACTAGGGATTCAGGAAGGCTATGAAACTGGTTCTGGAGTCTGGGGGGCCAGACTGTAGGGTCCTATTGCCCAAGAGAGGTGTTTCTGCACTAAGGAGTGCGCCTGAAAGACACAGAACTCCGACCAGCGACCAGTCACTCTCCAGTCCCAAGGGCTTAGCAGTATGTGGCATCCAAAGATTGGATCCCATCATAATGGACTAGTGTCTGTTCAGAGAGTGCGACTAGACCAGGCTGTGACACACAGGTGTTATCATGGGTGGTGAGTATCATAGGCAGGGGGAGGCTGTGCCTCCCAAAACAGCCTAGCGTGGCTCCACCCCCAGGCCAGGCTCCATCCTGTGGTTCCCAGCTCTCTGCCCTGGCTGGCTGGGGCTGGCTGTCCTGCCTCCCACAGGGACTCAGGGTGGCTGGTGCTGGGGCCGTGCTGCCTGGTGTGGCTGGGGGTGGCTGCAGCTGCGCCATCTGGAGCTGGGTGCCCCGGGGGCTGGGGGCGCTGCAGCCTGGCGCACCGGGGCTGGGGCTAGGGGCCATGGTGGGGATGTTCTGGGCTCCTGAGGGAGAAGGGGGAAAGAGGGGAGCGGGAGAGGGGGACACAAGGGGAGGGGCTGGGAACTAGCTTCCTCAACGGCCAGGTCACTGGCCGCTCATGAGTGTTACCTATCTGTGTGTGTGACCAAAATGTTTGGATCTGTAGACAGTCAGCCAAACTCAGAATAGCATCAAATAAAAGTGAAAATAGAAATGGAATCCAAACAAGGGCAAAAGATTAATTGCACAGTAATCTGAAGCCAGTGCTTGCAAGTGCTCCACATCAAAGGCAACCACGATAACGTTGCCTCACACCCATTAAAATCAGTGGCCCAGCTCAGAGCACGAGGCTTTTTTTCAGTCAGAATGGCAACCTTTGCTGTGAGCTTTGTGTCCTGTGTATCTTAATATAATATAAGTTAATTCGAGATCCCTAACCTGAGGAACTTCCAGTCAAACAGTTCCCGCTACGCCTCGTGAATCTGCCTTATTGCTTTTGTTCCATCTGTCTTGCTAGGATAGTCAAGCCCAAAGTGGCTTCCATGGAGGAGATGGCAAGCTTTCACACTGATGCCTATCTGCAGCACCTCCAGAAGGTCAGCGAGGAGGGGGACAATGACCACCCGGAGTCCGTGGAGTATGGACTGGGTAAGGAGCCTTTTTAAGCAAAGATGAATGGAAGATGGTTGTGTTTGTTTTGAGCTTGAAGTCTTGCACATTTTCCAGAAGGAGCCGTCAAAGGTTTTTCTCCTTTTCAGCCTTTTAAACAAAGTCCGTTTCTGCTCTGATAAGTGACTGTAAAAATGGTCTGCTCTTACTGCATAGATCTTCTCCCTGTGTTAATTGGCAGAACTACTAGCTTTCCCAGTGCAAACCTTTTTAAAAATTGCTCCTTTTAACCTAGAAGAGGCAGCACAGCTTTGCGAGAGGGAGCTAAATTCTATTCTGGCTCATGCATCATTAACATAATGCTAATTGAGTTTCAGTTCGAGAATCTGTATTACTGGGCTGGTGTGACAAGGAATGAATCCAGCATCTCTCTTAGATCACTGGGTGAGTTGGTAGGCTGGCAACTAGACACAAAACAATGGTTTACTTGGAAACCAAGTGCATTTGAGCTGGTATGTCTACACAGCCTGCGGCAGCAAGCCTCCCAGCCTGGGTCAACAGACTTCGGTTGGTGAGTGGGGCTTGTGCTAGTGCTCTAAATACAGTTGCATAGACAGTGCTTTGAAGTTGCAGCCTGGGCTCTGAAACCTAGGGAGAGGGGTGTCTATATAGCTATTTTTAGAGCTCTAGTTAGTCCTGTTAACATGGGCTGGGAGGCATGCTGCTGCAGACTGTGTAGACATACCCCCCCCCCCCAAGATAAAGATGGAGCCCCAAGAGACATTTTGACAAGGCCGCTTTCAGAGTAGAACTGTACTTCAATGGCCATGGCTGAACAAAGAGTGACTTAAACCTTGTCTAGACTGCACGTAGGTCCCGATTCTAGCCATTGGTATAACTCCATCCATATACCTCTAGTGTGGATGTGCAAAGCTGCTATTTGAACTGATGGAGCTTATGGGTTTCTGGGGGGCAGGAGGTGGGTATTAAACAATGATCATCATGGGGAACTTGCTGTGTTCCTGGGATCCGAGGCTTCACTTTCAGTTTCAAACAAGCAGAGGGCACCAGAGAGTGGTCCATGGTGTAACCTGTTCCAGTGTTTCTTAAGAGGTCTGGAAGCCAGGCTTCCTGAACCAGTGATGCAAAGGGGGTGGGTATGAGGGTGGTGTCTTCCTCCTCCTCAGTGGAGCATTAACGTGAAAACCTAATGATGGCTACTTAATTGCCAATGCCATCTTTGCTGCTCAGCATGATTCTTGGGTATTGGATTCTCCACTGGATGTTTTGATGTGTCCTGATGTTCCAGGCGTTTGAAAAGCCGTTTGATAGGAAGCAGCACCCAAACCCATGCACCTTGCAGCAGCAGAAAAGGCAGATGTCCAACAAGCTGGGAGTGGCGTTGATTGAGCTGCAGCACATGCAAGCAGGAATCACGGGAATAGCAAGAGCTCAGTGGGCTCCAACCACGTACAATAGCATTGTGCTCTATAGTGGATTTATACTGCTCACTTGCCTGCCATAGCACTTGCAGCTACTCCTTGAAGTCAGCACTCTGAAGGGCTTTAGCATTTCCAGCTGCACAGTGGGAGGTGAAGTTTGTCATCTTTGTGTGAGACAGTGGGAGACACTGCCTCCTTCCTGATGTTACACTGAGCCCGACTGCAGAGTCCCGAGTTCTGCACAAAACACTCAAGGCTCTTCCAAGGCGACAGGTTTAATTCTAGAAACTGGTCCTGGAATTCTGTGCTGCTCTGAGGGTCTGTCTCCAGTGCATCAGAAGTGTGACTGCAGCACATAGTTGAAATAGCTTCGATCTAGCAAGCTCCAATAACAGTAACAGTGAAGCCAGGGCAGCATGTGCAGCAGCACAGGCTTTGGAAGCCCACTTGAGTGACTAACCTGTGCTGCCGCGACTCACGGGTATTATTTGAGCTAGCAAGAGCAAAACTAGCTTAACGTGCTGCTGCCATATCTCTGATTGCAGTGAAGACATATCCTGAGATTTTGGATATGCCTGGAAAGGTCTCCAATGCGTGGGGTGGTGCTGGAGGTGAGAGAGCGGGTTACATTCTAGGTCCGCATCCACTGAGTTCCCATGATAGTGTTCAAGTGTAGAAGGGCTCTGCTTCTGGAGACTAAGGATGTGCTGTGTGGTTGTTGGGCAGGTAGAGGGGTTGCAGGTACTCCATGTGAAAGAGGGGAATAGAGCAAAGCAACCCAATGTATCTGGTAACTGAACCAGTGTTTGTGGTGCAAATGGGGCTAACTGGCCTAACACCTGCTTGTTGCTGAGCCAGGAGGGGTCCATACAACCCCTGAGTATTCTTGGTCTGAGAAAGCCATTTGGCTTTTAATTTTTTCCTGTGGAGCACGACCCAAAGAAACTCACCTTGGAAAGCCAGAGGATGGCATCTTCCACATGGACCATGCTCAAAGGAGGTCAGTCCCCTTGCCAGCAGCCTCGCTTTGGCTTCCTACGGTAGCCAGAATGGAAAGCCAGAACTGTAACTAAAGTTAAATACAGTTCCCTGGTGTACTCCCACTAGGAATGCAGTGATGTTCCCACTTCTGTCTTCTGTCCTGAGCGACATTCTCTGGTTCTTGCCCTTAGGTTATGACTGTCCAGCCACTGAAGGTATCTTTGACTATGCAGCAGCTGTAGGAGGGGCCAGCATCACAGCAGCCCAGTGTCTGATGGATGGCAAGTGCAAGGTAGCGATTAACTGGCCTGGAGGGTGGCATCATGCAAAGAAGTAAGAAGAAAACCTGTTACTGTGTGCTTTCCAACCTGGTATCTGAATCGAGCCCGATAGCTCCTAGCTTTCCACACAAACCATCAGGGCGAGGAGAAACAATAGCATCCAAAAAGACCAATACAAATGAATTGGGAATTTTGGGGGGACGGGGAAGAGGTTGAGTGGGTTGAAAGACAAGAGGCAGCTGGGGAAGAAGTGGTGTGTAGTGCAGAGGAATGGGAGCCAAGAGTCCTGCATCTAAGTCCTGGTTCTACCATGGGCTTTGCTGTGTGACTTAGACCAATCAATTAACTTCTCTATGCCTCAGTTTCTCATAGTACTTCATAGGGGTGTTGCGAGGCTTAATGCTAGTAAAGTACTTTGAGATAGAAGTGCAAACTGCTGGTGTGTTGCCAAGAACTGAAGAGAATGGAAACCTGGAGACAAATGAAATATTTAAGAAGAGGTGAGTTGAAATAGAATTGGCTCTTCATATTCCTTCCTATGCTCTGAAAGTATCTGTTAGATCTGTATTGTAATATCTGAGATAGAGCAGTAATGTACTGTCAATAACAATATTTCAGAGCAGCAGGAGAGGAGATGGGAACTTTGCCCCTAAGTTGCTCACATTCCCAGGAGGTCACAGGACTAAAAATGTTTCTAAAGTTAGCTGTGGCTTGTCCCCTTATTGCTCTCTGAGTTTCAGGAGAAAGTAGTACTTTATCTTCTGAAGCACAAGGGCTGTGTTTAATACCATGTGCAGATGAGAAAGTGACCCCTCTTTCTAATAGAATCATAAGATTTTCCATACCAGATTGGACCAACAGCCTGTCAATTTTTGGTATACTGTCTGTGATAGTAATCTATAGCTGATGCATTGGAAAAAAATCCTTGGGAAGTACCTCATCAATTGTGGAATGCTGTATTTAGGGGCAGGGCAAGATTCCTTCCTGACCTTTGCGGCCCAGTGTTTTCCTTGAAGCATGACATTTGGTCTCTCTATTCTATGTGTATCTACCAGATGGGGTCCTTCATAAAGTTCTCTCATCCCCTTGAAATCCAGCTGCAGCTTTTTTCCTGCAGCAGTGCATTTCCTGAGCTGACCGGGAGCTCTGGGAAGAAGTAAGGACAATGTGCACACTTTGGGGATCCATCTAAAAATACTGGCAGTTTAAGGTGAACCCCCAGGTCAGCATTAGAACTGTCCAAATCTGGATTTGGTTTTTGTTTCCACTGAGTGGGCACAGTTCAGATTAGTCAGGCAGAACAGTCTCATTCTGCTCAGGATGAATGGCTTTTTAATGACGTCTTGTGCTGTTCTGTTTTGACTACGCTGCGTGGGATCTCCCTCATCGGTGATGCCTGGAACTAAGAAACAACCTCAACAATTTTGCCTCCGATGTGCTGAGCCATTCATGTTGTTTTTCTCTGAGCAAGGATAACGCTAAAAGACATCATTACATCATTGTCAATGCAGCTGTCCTGTGAGCGTTAAGTGTGCACTAGAACTCCCTAAGACATTTTCAGTGAGACATTTGGAGACTGATTTCAAAATCCCAACTACTTACTTTTCTGTTCAACGTGTGCTATATTCTACTCCTGAGAACAGACATTTATAATGGAAATACTGACACAACTTTCAGCTAGAGCAGGGGTGGGCAAACTACGGCTCTTGGGCTGGATCCAGCTCCTCGGGGCTTTGGATCCGGTCTGCGGGATTGCCTCCCGTGGCGCCGCGGGCCCCATGCCGCTCTTAGAAGTGGCCAGCCCCAGCCCCCTCTTCCTGGAGTGGCGCAGGGCCGGGGATAGGGCAGGCATGCAGGGAACCTGCCCTGGCCCCAGTGCGCACTGCTGCCACCCCGGAGCCGCTTTAGGTAAGCGGCGCCAGGCCGGAGATCAAACCCCTCCTGCACCCCACCCCCCCAACTCCCTGCCCTAAGCCCCCTCCCGCAGTCCGCACCCCTCCTGCACCCCTGCCCTGAGCCCCCTCCTGCACCCCAACTCCCTTCCCTGAGCCCCCTCATACACTCCACACCCTTCCTCTGCCCCAGTCCCTTGCCCTGAGCCCCTTCCTGCACACCGCACCCCCTCCCACATCCTGCATTCCCTCCTGCACCCCAACCCCCTGCCCCAGCCCTGCATACAATTTTCCCACCCAGATGTGGCCCTCGGCCCAAAAAGTTTGCCCACCCCTGAGCTTTTTTTAACAGACTCCACATACTGGCAGAAGTGGGGGGAAATCCACTGAATAGTTAGGAAAACCCTCTGACTTAACCTAGAGCTCTCCCTAGTGGTACCTTAGCTAAAGCTGGAAAGACATTTTAAAATCAGTAAGTGAAATGTGCACTTTTTAGAATTCAACGTTTCATAGACTCATAGAATATCAAGGTTGAAAGGGACCTCAGGAGGTCATCTAGTCCAACCCCCTGACGCGCCGTCTCTACTGCCCGAACTGCCGAAGCAAAAAAAAAAAGGCGCTCCTCCTGCCACGCACCCCCAAGGATTCTCTTGTGCACCCATTGAGGTGTGCGCACCCCACTTTGGAGACCACTGGTCTAGATCCATCTTCTTTGGAACCCCCTTTCAGGTAGTTGAAAGCAGCTATCAAATCCCCCCTCTTTCTTCTCTTCTGCAAACTAAATCATCCCACTTCCCTCAGCCTCTCCTCATAAGTCATGTGCTCCAGCCCCCTAATCATTTTTGTTGCCCTGCGATGGACTCTTTCCAATTTTTCCACATCCTTCTTGTAGTGTCGGGCCCAAAACTGGACACGGTACTCCAGATGAGGCCTCACCAATGCCAAATAGAGGGGAATGATCACAGCCCTCGATCTGCTGGCAATGCCTCTACTTATAGAGCCCAGAATGCCGTTAGCTTTCTTGGCAACAAGGGCACACTGTTGACTCATATCCAGCTTCTAATTGCTAAATAAAAATGCTTTGTGTCAAGACGGCAATTGGTCACTATCGCTGGTTACAGGTGCCCAAACCCAGTCGGACCTGCAGGGTGATAAGCTGTAGGTATAGTTGGGGTTATGTACCTGGGTACCAGTCTAAGAGTGGGAGATTCCACCCGGAAGCAGATGAGGGCAAGAGGCTGAACACCTGAGGCGATAGCGCTCAGACAGCCCAGAACGGGGACGAGAGGTGCAGACAGTCCTGTAACTGTAACGCCGCTGTAGTGGATGCGCACCACCTTTGGAGTGCTGCCACTGGAAGTTCCTGAGAAGTTGCGGGGAGGCACTGGCACCCGAACCGTGGCCTTGCCCCTGCTGTGCCTCTTCCCCCTGAGACTTCCGATGCTCGCTCCTCTCCGCCCTCTCCCTCCTGTCGCTCACCCGTAAGGCAGGAGGGGGCAGAAAGGAGTGAGCAGGGAGGAGCAGGCGGCAGGCGGAGAGGAGCAAGTGGCGGGGAGGGGGCAGAGTGGGGGTGGGAAGAGGCAGAGTGGGGAATGGGGCCTCAGGGGAAGAGGCCACGCGGGGGCTGGGCATCGGGGTGGAGCAGGGGTGGGGCCACTGTACAGGCACTGGTGGTTCCTCCCACTTCTAGGGAGCTTTTGGTGCTCACATCCTGCCTCCCCAAACACAAGAGTCATGTGCTGCATATAGACAACTGTAAGTGGAAGAGGTTAGCAAAAACTCTGTGTTTTGGGTTGTTTGTTTTTTTCAGTTTGCCTTATATGGTCAGTTTCTCTCTTCATTAAATGACCTTTATAAATGAAAAGGGAGCCGAAAAACCCTCAAGCCTTTTTTAAAAAGGACGTTAAAAGGAAAATCCTCAGGCTATGCTGTTTAACAGGTGTTTAGTCATAAACAAGGATTTTTTTTTAAGTCAACTCCAAAAAAGTCAAATTGTATCTCTTTAGAACCTTAATTAGGTCCACAACTCAATATTGGGGCTGCTAGACTGCTAATTTGCTTGCTATGATTTGTGTTGTAATCCAGACTGAGACTAAGGCCCAGTCCTTATGGCAGATAAATTGGTCTGTGCGGCTTTTTCAGGCTAATTGTGAAATCTAGTCAATTTCAAAATGGAGTTATAGTAGTAGATGTTCCCCTGCCAATTTTAATGGGTTTACAATGACATTTTCCCAATATATCAAGATGTTTCTCTTCTGTGCTGTGCGAAAGACCCATGTGAACAACAGAGGAACATGGGAAACAGGGCAATGAGCTACCCACAAGGCATTGTCAAATGCACAAAAGTAAACAAGCTGGGTAGGGGAATGTCATTTTTTCTGAACTTTCAGTTGTAATCCTTTTAGGTGCTAGTTATAATCACAATAGGCCAAACACTTTCAGACTGTGGCTTTTTAAAAAGTTGACTGGGACCCTTTAGCACCAGAAGAGTGCACATTGGTGGAATGATCTCTAAAGAGAATGTAGGGATTGAGGTATGAAATTCAATAGTTAAATGATTCCAGGTTTTTTTACCATCCCCCCATTTTTAATAGAGGAAATAATGGTGCTATAAAATCATAGAAGCCGTTTTCTGTAAAAGTCATTGAGTCAGATCTCACGGGAGTTATGCATTTGACAGGCAACTTGAACTGTGGTGCAGGGTGGGGAGGAGAGAAGGGGAGGCAGAAATACTGGGATTTGACTTTCTAGTAATAAAATAGGTATTGGAAAAAGGGGAATCTGGCTGGTTCGATTCTGAACTTCCAGTTCCAGGGGGGTGACCATTTTGACCAGGGGTTGGCAACCTACGGCACGCAAGCCGATTTTGAATGGCACGCTGCCGAGGTCCCGGCCCCAAGCCCCACTCAGCCCCCCCGCCCACGGCGCTCCCCTGCAGGGGCAGGAGGCAGAAGCTTGGTCCTGCGGCAGCCAAGCTTCCCCCCCCCCCCCCCGCCCGCTTCTTCCACCAGTGTGGTGCTTTCCTGCCCCTCCTCCTCCCCATCCCTCTCCCTGCGCTGATCAGCTGATGGCCCTTGCGAGTGGGAGGGGGACGAGTGGCAGCGTGCTCCCTGCTCCGTAGAGGAGGCAGAGAAGAGGTAGGGACGGGACCTTGGGGAAG